TTCTCTCCCCCTTTTCTTTTCTTTCTTTTTTTCCCTTTTCTTTCCTTTTCTTTCCTTTTTTTTACTTTTTTGTATTTTTAGTGCATTTATACAGGAATATATTGAAACTGTCAAATAGCAAATCATAATAAGAAATGAATAAAATGTTGTGTTAGATATAATTGGCTTGATGTTGGTAACCAAATTACACTTGTAACCAATCAGAATTTTAATACTAAAAGAAATTTTTCTTATCTTCTCTTATAATAACTGTTAATGTTTACAAATAATGATTCTAATAGACTTCCTCAATGGTTTCTTCTTCTTAGATTCAACACAGTAGTACACTGTGGATAGGTATTCAGAATCAAAATGAAAAATGTGCAAATAAAATAAAATTTGTAAAAAAATCAACAGAAGGATCTCTGTCAATAGTGTCAGTTGTCTCGAGAATATTCTTGTGGTATTCATAAATATTCCTTTTTTCCCCAGAAGCCACAGAGGAAGTTTCTCTGGATAGTCCAGAAAGGGAACCAATACTCTCATCAGATTCTACTCCGGCTGTCACTCCTGTTACACCAACTACACTAATAGCACCCAGAATGGAGTCAAAAATTGTAGTGGCCCCTGTGGATTTTGATAGATCCAGAGAAGAGGTATGGAATTTAATAAGCTGTGATATATTTTGTTACCAGGGTGAATAACTAACATTAAGATGGCAATACACAGTTAAGAATTAAGTAATGCCATAGGTGCACAACAAATTAAATGTTCTAGTAAACATGCAGATAAGGTCAGCATTTTGGTATTGCTTTGAAAACAGCTTTTTATGGTAGATAAGTTGTTCATAACTTTCACAGCTGAGATTATATTAATAACTGGCCTTTTTAGTACTGTATTGTTTTTATTTATAGTTTGTAGGTCCTTCTAGAAATCTCTTGAAAGAGTTGGATAACTTGGTTTAAGCAAATAATAATTCTTGTCAGTGAATAAAACTTCAAATATTGTTGAGGTTATTCTTCTGACTAGCCCCTGGATATGCTCTTACTTGCTTTAGATTAGTGGTTCCCAAACTTTGGTCCTCTGGATGTTTTGGACTTCAGCTCCCAGAATTCTGACCGCTAGCCAAGCTGGCTAGGGTTTCTGGAAGTTGAAGTCCAAAACACCTGGAAGACCAAAGTATGTGTATCACTGCTTTAGACATAAGT